CCCCGAGTCTAGGGGCCTTTTAGAGAGTTAAATGTTTCAATAATCAACATACTTATAACATGGTCACGGTTTGCTAACTAAACTTTAAAGCACATCACGGTGCTCACTGAACTTTGTCCGTTTGCACTCCATTCATCACCCTAAAAAATTCTTTACTTAATTCGCTGACGTTATTAACGAAAATCCCACGTGACAAATTACTGCCCTTGAAAAAATTATAAGTCAGCCAAACCAACGTCCTATTACTTATCCAACTTATACTTGATCACAGATTACTGGTCAAACTTCAAAATACTTTTCAATGGTCACTCATCTTTAAAACGTTTCAATCCATCAATCATCTGTCGGATTCCATTCCTTCGTTGTTTCATATCGCATTGAAATATTGTAAGTTATGATCGTTAAAAAATTTATAACTCGGCCAAATCATAAACTTACTAAAATCACCATATGTGAAACGCAACTTCCACGACCCCATAAACTTCTTTAAGCCCCAATGATGTGTTCCCAATTTTAGTCCTAAAAAATCCTAGCATCCAATTTACTCATCTCACTAACGTATAATTGAATTGTTATTGAGGCGGAGCCGATTGTTAAGAATGATACAAGAAACTACTTATAAAGTTGTATCCCCCTAATTGTACCATATGCTTTGAGTCTCTCTAATCCCAAACTTTCCTTTTCTGTAGTGCGTGTATCCAACTATTTGAGGAATGACATATCATCAAAATTTGGCTAAATTGATGAACAAAGAACAACAAATACAAACACAACCAAAAAGGTATTCCAATCGTACACTATTGTTGGAGTTTGATGACACATCGTTCCTTAAATTGTTAGACACATGCTTGCAAAAATGAAAGGTTGGAATTAGAGATATGTCCAGCGGATGGCATAATTGGTGGATATGACTTTATAAGTAGTAGTTTCCCATCAATAATCAGATATGTCTCAATATACAATTTAACTATACATGAATGAATTTAAAGCTGAAATTGGGGACGCATTATTGGGGATTAAAGAAATTTATGGGACCATGAAAGTCGCATTTCACACGTGGTGATTTTGGCGAGTTGATTGTTTGGTTGAGTTCTAAATTTTTTAAATAATCATAATTTGCCACGTGAAATTTCTGTGTGATATGTTAACAATGAAGGAACGAAATTTGGCGACTGATGGATGGAGTGCAACGTTTCAAAGATGAGTGAACATTGAAAAATATTTTGAAGTTTGATGAGTGATTTGACCTAGTAGGATGGCTAATGAAATATTGGTTTGGTTGAGTTGTAATTTGTTTAATTAACGTAACTTATCACGTGAGATTTCTGCTACTCCCATCAACGAATTAAATAACGAATTTTTGAGGATGATGAATGAAGTGCAAAAGACAAAGTTCAATAAGCACTATAAAATAATTTGAAATTTAGTGACTAAATCACGACTATGATATTAGTTGATTGATTATCGAAACGTTTAACTCCCTTTTAGAGCACCCGTGTTTAGTCCATGCTTTGGAAACCAGTATAGGTTTAACGCTTATATCGAAACATTTAACTCCCTTTTATAGCACCTGTGTTTAGTCAATGCTTTGGAAACCAGTATAGGTTTGACGGAAAAACGATCCCTACGTTACTCTCTCTCTCTCTTTCTCTTCAGACTCACTGCACTCCCA